CCCCAGGCACTGGTCAGGGCTGTTCTGGACAGCCACTCACCCGAGGAAGGGACATACCTGCTCCAAGTCCATCCCAGGGAGAGACAGGTGGACAGCCCTGCCCAGCCCTCCCCCAAGGGAGCCACTGCTGCTGCCTGCTCTCCTGATCCCTTGCTCTGAGTCCATCCGAGAGAGGTGAGTAGAGCCCCACACCCCAGCAAGGTGGGCACCATAGAAGGTCCCAGGATTCTGCAGAGGACCTGGGCTGAGAAGCCAATTGGCCCTGTGGAAAACCAGCACAATCAGCAGACAGGCGGCTAGTGACCAGAGACCATTTCCTGTGTTCACACAATGCAGTTGAAAGGTGAGTGGGATAGAAGAGTGTGCAAAGGGGCTGGGAAGGTGGCTCAGTGGTAGAGCGCTTGCCTTGCATGCCTGAGGCCCTGGGTTCGATTCCTCAGCACCACATAAGCAAAAAGAAAAAGCCAGAAGTGGCGCTGAGATTCAAGTGGTAGAGCGCTATCCTTGAGCTGAAGAGCTGAGGGACAGTGCCCAGGCCCAGAGTCCAGGCCCCATGACCAGACCCCCCCCAAAAAAAAGAACAGTGTGCAAAGCTCCCTCAGGAGCAGCTGCACACAGTACACATGGTCTCTCCACGGGACGTGTGTGGCTCTGGTCATGGACATGGTCTCTCCACGGGACGTGTGTGGCTCTGGTCGTGGACATGGTCTCTCCACGGGACGTGTGTGGCTCTGGACATGGACATGGACATTTTTCTCAATCAGTTTAACAACCCAGCATCACCCCAAATAAAACCTCCACCTCTAGAAGTATGACATCCATTTACCAAAGTGAACAACAAATTACCAAGAAAACCATGACAAAGAAGAGAAAGCTTCACTGGTGGGCCAGGAGATGAGGAGCAGCAGGTGTGGGTGGAGCTGAGGAGGTGAGGAGCAGCAGGTGTGGGTGGAGCTGAGGAGGTGAGGAGCAGCAGGTGTGGGTGGAGCTGAGGAGGTGAGGAGCAGCAGGTGTGGGTGGAGCTGAGGAGGTAAGGAGCAGCAGGTGTGGGTAGAGCTGAGGAGCAGCAGGTGTGGGTGGAGCTGAGGAGCTGAGGAGCAGCAGGTGTGGGTGGAGCTGAGGAGGTGAGGAGCAGCAGGTGTGGGTGGAGCTGAGGAGGTGAGGAGCAGCAGGTGTGGGTGGAGCTGAGGAGCAGCAGGTGTGGGTGGAGCTGAGGAGGTGAGGAGCAGCAGGTGTGGGTGGAGCTGAGGAGCTGAGGAGCAGCAGGTGTGGGTGGAGCTGAGGAGGTGAGGAGCAGCAGGTGTGGGTGGAGCTGAGGAGCTGAGGAGCAGCAGGTGTGGGTGGAGCTGAGGAGCAGCAGGTGTGGGTGGAGCTGAGGAGGTGAGGAGCAGCAGGTGTGGGTGGAGCTGAGGTGAGGAGCAGCAGGTGTGGGTGGAGCTGAGGAGCAGCAGGCTCAGGCCGGAGGTGAGGAAGTGGACCGCCCACTGAGGCTGTGCAGACTGGCAAGGCACCGTGGAGGTATACATGTGTGTACTGCAAACACGCGTGTGTGCATTGTGTGGCATCCATGTGTGCATGTGAGCACAGCACATGTGTGGTGTGTGTGCTCGCATCACACATGTTTGTGCAGGTGTGTGCAGCCGGTGTATTTGTGTCACATTCGTATTATATGTGTGTGTGAACACATTTCTTAAACAGCGCACAGTGCAAGGACATGGCAAGAGTTCTCCTAGGCCAACACTGGGGCTGGGCTGGGGCTAATCCTGTGTGTGGCTGAGAAATGCCAGGCCGGGAGCCGTGGGTGCCGCCTGAAGTCAGGAGCCTGTGTCCTTCACCCCATCCCCCATGCCAACCACCCAGGCGACATGACCGAGGGGGCGGGAACGGGGCCCGCGCGGGCCTGTGCCCACAGCCCGCAAGTCCCCCATGTTCACTACTGTTTAAGTGCCCAGAGTGCGACTTCCTGTCCCCAAAAGGAAGGGGACAGTGCAGGGCTGGGTCAAAACGATTCGCACACTCAGAATGTGTGTAAAAGGAGAGCTCAAATCAATACCAGAGAGAGATACAGAGAGGACACAGAGAGAGAAAGACAGACAGAAACAGACAGGCAGGACGTGGCAGAGGTGAAGCTCTGGGAGGAGGAAGTATCTTGGCCACCAGCCGGGGACCAGGCGTCTACGTAGTGGAGCCAGACTAGCCACCACCAACTGGCAGCTCAGAAAAGAGCAGAGCGAGCAGGGACAGTCAGCACTGTGCACCCGCCTTCCCGGAACGGACGCCCACAGCACTCTGCTCACTTTTTCCGTCGCTCACATGTGCCGGGGCCTGCTGGGGCAGAGCCCTCCCCTCCCCCAGCCGACCGGCCCAGGGCGGCACGGAGGCTCTGCAGGGCCTCAGCTCGTGGTGAGTCCCAGAGAACTGGAAGGCCAGGAGGGACCTGGTCCCAGGTTCCGGGGTCCTGCCGGCCACCCTTGTCTGCGGCACCGGCCTGGGCCCCACCCTCAAGGCCCCTCCCCAGAGCTGCACCTCTCCCTCCCAGGCCCCTCCTGGATCCTGTGCCAGGCTGGATCGCTGGCACAGTGGATGGGGGCAGACTTCTGCATGGGGACCGTGGTCCTGGGGCCGAGCCCAGGCTCTGCCGAGCCCTCCTGGGCCAACAAACCAAGATCCAGTCCTCTTGAGTCAAGAGGACAACAGAGACTAAAGGAATCACCCCAGGTGGCCACAGGGGGCTGCTGAGCTGGTGCCAAGAGGCTGGCGGCCCAGGCACGCGGGTCTCACACTTAGGGTCAGGGGGACAGTGTGGGTGAGGCACCGCTCAGGGAGCGCCCCTGTGTGGGGGAGTCCAAGAACTCCTGGAGGACCCTCAGAGGAATTGGGGTGTGAAGCCACGCCGCACTGGTGTCCACCTCAGCCACGCCACACCAGATATCACCTCAGCCACGGCACACGAGCGTCCACCCCAGTCACACCACACCAGACATCACCTCAGCCACACCAGATACCACCTCAGCCACACCAGATACCACCTCAGCCACGCCACACCAGACATCACCTCAGCCACACCAGACATCACCTCAGCCACGCCACACCAGATATCACCTCAGCCACGCCAGACATCACCTCAGCCACACCAGACATCACCTCAGCCACACCAGATATCACCTCAGCCACGGCACACGAGCGTCCACCCCAGTCACACCACATGAGACATCACCTCAGCCACGCCACACCAGACATCACCTCAGCCACGCCAGACATCACCTCAGCCACGCCAGATACCACCTCAGCCACACCAGACATCACCTCAGCCACACCAGACATCACCTCAGCCACACCAGACATCACCTCAGCCACGCCAGATACCACCTCAGCCACGCCACGCCAGATATCACCTCAGCCACACCAGACATCACCTCAGCCACGCCAGATATCACCTCAGCCACGCCACACCAGACATCACCTCAGCCACGCCACATGAGCGTCCACCCCAGTCACACCACACGAGATATCACCTCAGCCACGCCACACGAGCGTCCACCCCAGTCACACCACACGAGCGTCCACCCCAGTCACACCACACGAGCGTCCACCCCAGTCACGCCACACGAGCGTCCACCCCAGTCACGCCACACGAGCGTCCACCCCAGTCACACCACACGAGTGTCCACCCCAGTCACACCACACGAGCGTCCACCTCAGTCACACCACACGAGCGTCCACCTCAGTCACACCACATAAGCGTCCACCCCAGTCACACCACACGAGCGTCCACCTCAGTCACACCACACGAGCGTCCACCCAGTCACACCACACGAGCGTCCACCTCAGTCACACCACACGAGCGTCACACCACACGAGCGTCCACCTCAGTCACACCACATAAGCGTCCACCCCAGTCACACCACACGAGCGTCCACCTCAGTCACACCACACGAGCGTCCACCCCAGTCACACCACATGAGTGTCCACCCCAGTCACACCACACGAGCGTCCACCTCAGTCACGCCACACAAGCGTCCACCCCAGTCACACCACATGAGTGTCCACCCCAGTCACACCACACGAGCGTCCACCTCAGTCACGCCACACGAGCGTCCACCCCAGTCACACCACATGAGCGTCCACCTCAGTCACACCACATGAGCGTCCACCTCAGCCACGCCACACGAGCGTCCACCTCAGTCACGCCACACGAGCGTCCACCCCAGTCACGCCACACGAGCGTCCACCTCAGCCACACCACACGAGCGTCCACCTCAGTCACACCACATAAGCGTCCACCTCAGTCACACCACATGAGCGTCCACCCCAGTCACACCACATAAGCGTCCACCCCAGTCACACCACATGAGCGTCCACCCCAGTCACGCCACACGAGCGTCCACCTCAGCCACGCCACACGAGCGTCCACCTCAGTCACGCCACACGAGCGTCCACCTCAGTCACGCCACACGAGCGTCCACCTCAGTCACGCCACACAAGTGTCCACCTCAGTCACGCCACACAAGTGTCCACCCCAGTCACGCCACACTAGCGTCCACCCCAGTCACACCACATGAGCGTCCACCTCAGTCACACCACACAAGCGTCCACCTCAGTCCAGGGGATCTCAGTGGTCTCTTTGTGGGTGGACCCTCTTATTGGACGGAGCTTGACATTGCTTTGTCTGCACATACCCCATACACTCTGGCCCACTCCCCTTCTCCAAGCCTAAACCTGACCCTACAGACATGGACTGGACTTTGACCCTGGATTACAGCCTCCAGAGCTCTGAGAAACCAATGCCGGTTGCTGTGTATGGGCTCCACTGAAACCTCCTGAGCCGCTCCAGGCCCAGCCTGCCCTCCCTTCCTTCAGCCTTGGACTCAGGAAAGTCAGGGCAGACAGCTCTCCCCTCTCCTCTGAGGGCCCGGCGTGATGTCAGGCATGCTCCGGGCTCTGAGGGCCTGGACTAGGCTCTACATCCTGGCCCTGTCTGGACCCTGGAAGAAACTTCCCTCCAGGATGGCGTCTGAGGACGAAGTAAATAGCAGAGGAGACCCTCCATGCTCCCCAGGGATTGTGGGGTGGGGTCCTCACCCCTTGAGGGGTGGTGTGAGGTGGCCATACGGCCTGGAGCGTGACCAGACCCAGAGACACCCCACAGGGCTGGTCACACAGGATCATAACCAGAAGGCCACGCGTGGGGCAGCGTGGGTGCTGGAGCTACATGAACAGCGCCAACCGATACCAGGTGCCCGGCCAGGGTACCGTGCGGAGTGTGAGGCCAGGAGTGCGAGGCCAGGGCACCACGCAGAGTGTGAGGCCAGGAATGTGAGGCCAGGAGTGTGAGGCCAGGGTACCACGCGGAGTGTGAGGCCAGGAGTGCGAGGCCAGGAGTGTGAGGCCAGGGCACTGTGCAGAGTGTGAGGCCAGGGCACCGTGCGGAGTGTGAGGCCAGGGTACCACGCAGAGTGTGAGGCCAGGGTACCGTGCGGAGTGTGAGGCCAGGAGTGCGAGGCCAGGGCACTGTGCGGAGTGTGAGGCCAGGAGTGTGAGGCCAGGGCACCGTGCGGAGTGTGAGGCCAGGGCACTGTGCGGAGTGTGAGGCCAGGGCACTGTGCGGAGTGTGAGGCCAGGGCACTGTGCGGAGTGTGAGGCCAGGAGTGTGAGGCCAGGGTACCACGCGGAGTGTGAGGCCAGGAGTGCGAGGCCAGGGCACTGTGCGGAGTGTGAGGCCAGGAGTGTGAGGCCAGGGCACTGTGCGGAGTGTGAGGCCAGGAGTGTGAGGCCAGGAGTGTGAGACCAGGGTACCACGCGGAGTGTGAGGCCAGGAGTGTGAGGCCAGGAGTGTGAGGCCAGGGCACCGTGCGGAGTGTGAGGCCAGGGTACCACGCGGAGTGTGAGGCCAGGAGTGTGAGGCCAGGAGTGAGAGGCCAGGGCACCGCGCGGAGTGTAAGGCTCCAGAGAAAGCACCGGGGGCTGGTCACAGCCGTGGAGGAAGATGGGTCTCTAGGAGCCATTTTTATTTTGTTCTCTACTGCTTTCTACATGTACCAAAATTTCTATAATGACAATGTGTGTACTGTTTTTATAATCAGAAATTGGGACTTACAAAGGAGGAACCAAAGCTCTGAGGTGAGTCGGGGAGCAGAATGCAAGGTCTGGGGCTGGGAGGGGAGCCGAGTCTCGCCCCGTACTGCCCCCCAGCTGGAAATAAGGCAGGCCCCTCTCAGGGCCCGGCCCCTCCCTGCTTCTCTAGCAGAAGTTCAGAATCTGAGCACACTGCCCCAGAGCAAATCCAGGCTCAACTAGAGCTGGCAGAAACTCCCACGTGCTCTCTTCCTCCGGCCTCATCTGTGCCCCAGCACTTGTGCATGCTGTCAAACTGGACCCACGCTCCATTTTCTGCCTGTGGATGCCCAGCTCCCCAACACCAATTGTGGAAGAAGCCATCTTTTCCCACTGTATATCCTTGGCTCCTTATCAAATATCAGATAAGGGGAAGTATATAGTTTTATTTCCCAGTCTTTTTCTCTGTTCCATTGATCTTCGCATCTATTTTTGTGTTTTTTGTTGTAACAGCTCTGTAGTAGAGCTTGGGGTCAGGGATTGTGCCATCAACCACCTCTTGGAATGTGAAGGCAAGAAGATGTGGGGATGGAGGCCCGAGGCGGCAGCTGGAATACCAGACCCTCACCAGGTTTACGTGGGAAGAAGACACAGCAGGATCCCTTTGTTCTCATTCAATGCTAGAAAGCAGCCCGTGATCTGGTGTTTGCGGAGGAGAAAAGGCCTGGGCTGGCTGAATTCACACCCAGCCCTGGAGCTCTGTCAGACTCAGAAGAGCCAGGTCCCAGTCTGCACCTCCCTTCCTCCACAAGCATCTCCCTTCCTGCCTGTCCACCCCCCCCCCCGTGAGAACGCTGGCACCAAGCTCTGTCTGTCCTGGGATCACACCAGCCTTCCCAGACACTCCTGCATGTCACCCAGCCAGGGCAGCCATCAGGAGGGGCTGCAGCGCCCCCATGGCTTATCTTTGTAACCGGGTGGCTCTGAACCTGTGGGCACATTCTCCAGGACTTCACGCAGGGAGAAGATGCAGAAGGAGATGTCCTCATAGGAGGCCCTTGCCCCACTCTCAAACAGACAGGCAAATGCCAGGGCTGCCCCAGGAACAGGCCCAAGGGTTGCCAGGTCCGAGTAGCCACTGGGGCCCTCGTAGATCACCCAGGGCTCCGTCCAGCTGTGGAGGTCCGGTGGGGACCGGCTCAGGCGAATCCCCATGTGGAGCCTGGCTCTGTGGCCTGTAGGGTGAGAATAAAGCAGCCAGGTGGGGCCCGGAGGTGGGGACGTGGAGCGCGTGGACCGCAGCGGGACCCATGCAGGTTCTGGACCCGGCTGCTTTGTGGCATCTCCCCAGGGTTGTGGGTGGCAACAGGGTCCTCTGGGCACCCAGCCCCCACGAGTGCCCTGAGCATCCTCCCTGGGAGAGTCCTGGAGTCCAGGAGAGGGACAGGGAGGGTGAGGGGGGCTCCTGGCAGCCAGCCACCACCCCTCACCCCGAGTCCAGCTGAGGGGAGGGGCCGGGAAGCCCACGATGCTGCCCTGGCAGCCCCGGGCGGTCTCAGGCAGCGTGGGCACGAGCTCCCCAGGGAGGAAGGAGGTGCCCCCGTCCGCGCTGAGCGCCTGCACGCGGCTGCCCAGGGGGCTCCGCGCGTTGCAGTAGAGGAGGCCTCCGTCCACTGCCGCCAGCTGGCATTCCCCCGAGCGCAGATTAGGCACAAGGCCGCCACGGTGCCAGGTGCGGCCGTGGTCATCACTGTAGAAAGCAAAAGAGTGAGGACTGGTCCGGCAGATCTTGCCAAAACACTCCCGTCGATCCACGCGGTAGGTATAAGCGGGCACCAGCAGACGGCCCGAGCGCAGCTGGACCCCGTGGCCTGGGCCTACGGCAAAGGTGGCCCAGTCTGCAGAGAAGAGAGGCTGATGAGCTCCCAGGAAAGATAACCAGGACAGGCCAGCCGGGGGGGGGCCGAAAGAGGACTCCCCGTTCCCCTCAGCCCTGAATTCGCTCTGTGCTTTTGGAGGAACCCAGGAGACTACTTGGGCAGAAGTTTTGTTTGCTCTGCCTCGGGCAGGCCAGGCAAGTGTGCGATCGCTGAGTCGCTGAGTCGCTCCCCAGCTCTAAGCCAGACTCTCCCTCAGGCCCCGCCCTCCTGCCGTGATCCCACCCCATCCTCAAGCCCCGCCCCTCACTCAGGCCCCGCCCTCCTGCCGTGATCCCACCCCATCCTAAAGCCCCGCCCCTCCCTCAGGCCCCGCCCTCCTGCCGTGATCCCGCTCCGCCCACATGCCCAGCCCCT